AGAGTGCAAGCCAGAGTTTTGTTCCAACCCAGGACCGAGACCAGGTCCCCCCCCATATGCCTGTGATGATGCGATAGAAGTCGGAAGATGTGTCAAGGGAGCATTAAAAGCACCGACAGGTTGAGCGACGTTGTGTGACTGAGAACGCGGCCGAGTGGCATGGGAGGTTCCGAGGTTTTTGGCAGGCGAGGTTTGGATGTCAGCATGACCATACGACATCTCGGGAAGGTACTGAGTGTAGGCCGGGATGAAGCCAGTCTCCTGAAGAAATCCGGGGAAATTCATGTCAGCGATAAGAGTCTAAATTCAAGTGCCAAAAGGCTCGATGGCATATGCATGACAAGGGCAGAAGGAGGGCAAGAAGGAAGGAACCGAAACGTCCTTTTAGACCTCCTTCAAGAAGGTCTTTGATGGACATATCGGACATTACTTCGGAGTCGCGGAGTCGTTTTTAGACATTGGAGAAGAAAACGTCCCGCCCCCCGCGCACCCACGTAAACGCCCATCCGAAGTGGGGAGAAATCTGGAGAGGAAGGCTTAACTTACATTTGACCCTGCTGCGTTTCCCATGGTTAACCTGTTGTGCAATTGAACGGGGTCAAGGCCATCTAAGAGAAGGCGTGTGTCTGGTTGTAGCCCTCCTTCGAGAACGAAGGGACCGCCCCTGTCGAGCGCCTCCATGTTGGTGGTGGTGGTGGTGGGATACTGGTTGGGAGTTGGACGTGATTGGTAGCGATGGATTACTGAGCCACGGGCACTAGCGGCATTGATGGCAGACATGGGGAGGCTGGTGACGCTCGTTGTTCCAGCCCCCCAGTTATTTGCTGGGCCGAGGGTGAGCGTGCCACCACCCACTCCTAATGGGCCTGTCGGAGCTGGTGGTGCAACTCGTCGGGAAGTGGTTGTGCCTGATGGACCAGAAGCTGCAGAGGCTGCATTGGCAGCTGCTATCGCCTGTTGGACTCGTGGTGGACGCTGTTTACGCTGAAATCGAGGTGGGGGGAGAGCCCGGCCTCCAGCTCGGCCACCTCCCGAAGATGGCTTTGTGTGTCCTGAGCTTGAGGGAGTAGATGGCATGGATGTCCTAGCGGCAGTATCGTGTCCTGCCGATGACTGAGACGCCCACGAATCTGTCCGGTGTCGTTGGAGAAGAGTATTGTCACTTTGGTGGAGAGATTGCGACGATGAATCTGGAGTGCCAGGGGGTATACGGTCTTGGATTTGACGGTTTGACTTGGTGGTGCTATTGCCGTGAAAGCGAGGGATTGGATTTGGCTTGTGAGGCATGCGCCTCGTATACCCGATGACAAGACCTGGACGAGCGACGCAAAAGTCGTGAGCGATTTGTGACTCTGAAACTAGTTTGGGAGGGACGAGTGTAGCGTACCAGAGAGAAATTATAGCGTCAGAATTGGCCCAAAAAAAGAGAAGCTGACGTAGGGATTTGGGTTGGTGGTGGTGCGGGAGACCGGGGGGGCGATTAATAGGATGTGAAAGTAGAGAGAGAAAGAGAAAAAGAGAAAACCAAAGCAAAGTGTTGCAGACAAAAAGTCGGTCAGACGAACGCAGCGACCACGGCGGGTCGTGCAGAGGGTTCAGGTCCAGAACGATATCCCAGTTTGGCCGCAAAACTCACTTCAACCCGTGCCTGTTTACAGCCGGCCTTGTCCCGCAGACGCAGAAACGCTGCAACTTTGGACGTATGTCAATCAGAATTCTCTCGTCACTGCAACTCTGCGAGGCTTCTCTTTTAATGTGCGGACGCCTGCGACTTGTCGGCTTGAGTTGTCAGCTTTATGTTTTGTGCTAGTCTTCAGCGTGAGTAGGCCTTGACCAAAAGCAGCCCAAGGTACCAGGGACACTCCTTCACATGCTGCTGCTGAGCGTTGTTCTTGGGTCCTTGAATGGGTGAGGTTCAGTTCCCATGTCACGATCAACTGGCTGACGCTTTGAACAGCGAATTGAGCGAGCTGACAGCATTCTGTCACAATTTTGGGATATTTTCCTGAATGAATTCATACATTTCTAACCCGCTCCAGGCTTCACTTGACCACTTTCGCTGTCACCCAATATTGTGGAACGGGAGAAGTGAAGAACCCTCATAAACTCCGATCAATTCTTCTTTGCGTTCGCCATCAAGCCCTACTTCATCGTGTACTACAGTATTCCCAGACTACTCACCTCGGCTGTCGAAACCGTGCTTTCAACGTGTTTTAGGTCGAAATCGTCGCCTCTCATCCAGGCCGTCCGTTCCACTCGACGCGATGACGCGGAAGGGGGGTCCACAATCCTCATCAGCACTCGGGAATCTCCCAATCCAGTGCGTCCAATATCGCCCGCATATCAAATTGCTCGTATTCAGAGGACCTCGCCCGGTTCCTCTCAAACCACGGCTCGTCCCGAGACTACAGAAAACCGCTGGCTTGATCTGTCCAACCGATTATACTGTCAACACGCTTCCACATCTCCGTTCAGACATCGAATGCCGTGATTCCGTTGCTTCGAGAGGGATAAACCCATACCCCATGATGGCGTCCCATTCAGTTCGTTGCTATTGCCGCCGAGGGTGTTCCAGTGTCCTCCTGGGGCTCTCTTATCATCTGACGGTTCTTCTCCTTACAGAAATAGGTTATGAGCCTGATCGACACCTGTTCATTAAGCCTATCCCAATTCTCCACACAAGCACATCACGCGAAAAAAGTTTTGGGTCAGACCGCTAAAGTCGCAGGGACCTCGCCATGCCTAATAAAGAGACGCCATTCCTTTATGTCCCATTCATCCCAAGGACGGAGCCATGCTTTTGCATCCTCCTCATTTACCTCACTTAATACACCCCCTTTGCTAGCGCTGATTCATGGCCCACCGCTTGAATGGTGGCGTCTCACGCTGGCACTTTATCCACGTTTGGAATGTGAACAGAAGCTGCTTTTCTCTTCGCCACTTCGAAATCAGTGGCTGCTCCAAATGGGACGGGTCTCGATTCTTAGAAGTACCCGGAAGCGCGACGATCGCCAATACTCTTTGATGAATATACCAAGGGGAAGGGCGAGGAATGTAGGGCCGCAGCAACGTTCCGAGACCTCCACATCAGCGGATCAGAGGCCACTCAGGACCCGCCGGATGGTCATGCATCCACTACAGGGTAAGGTCGTCTTTGCCGTGAAGCAGAAGTAACCCCCCCATCTTCCCCCTGTTTCTAGGACCTTACTTTGTCGATCCCTTCAACTTGAGCTTCATGTCGCCCTTATGAACGAGACCATTGTCCCTCACAAGAACCAAGGGAACTCTAGGACCAATACTAAGAGAGGATGGGCGCGTTCATCGTGTGCCGTAGCCGCCAGAACCAGGCTCGTCAAGCTCCACTCATCAAGCCCGCTCTTCAAAACTACGCGTTAGGGAGAACTTCTAGCGTGAAGCCTTTTGCCGTTACCTCTCCTCATATTATCAAAATGCTCGAGTTCTCAACTGATGCGGGTCTTCCATTGCGGCGACCTACCGTCTTGGTGCAGAGTGGAGAATATCAAATGTAACTAGGGCTCAGCGAATACTCGACATATGCTTCTCCTTGCTCTCGAGGTGCTCTAGCTGATGAGGGTGTTTGTGTCGCATCCATTACACTGGTCGCCATCGTTTTGCACAACCTTGGACCCAACGTCTTGGAACCCAGGACTGGGGTACGTCTCTTGACTTTCTAGAGAGTCCCCATAGTGCTTTCTTGGTGCTGATTCGTATAGATAGGCTTCCATGACATGCATCCGCCCGTTTCTACCGCACGTGTGGCTTACAGGTATCAAACGACTGTACGCGCGAGTATCGTAGCCTAGCTCACTCGAATAACCATCCCTCTCATACTCGACACCGTGAAGAGCATACTAGCAATGCGATTGCTCCTGCCCATTAGCCAGAATCGCTCACTCCGCCACCGTGACAGATTGGCATAAGCGCACATACAGGGACAGCGAGCGCCATTGGCCTTCTCAATCTAATATCCCTAACAAGCCACAAGCCACAAGCGCTATCCCTCCTCATCACTTGACATTTAACCTCGACCCCTGTACAACTCACTCTTCATTACCTGCATCCTCGCCGGCGGCGGCACTCGCCTGTCATGGAAAAGCCCGTCCCCGGAAGCTTGACCAGCTTGACCAGCATTTCACTGCCGATATGAACTGTCCTCCTCCTCAATTGGTGGGTTTAGCTAACGATATGGTGATAATGGCGTGCAGTATTCAGATCGGTCTCCTCCCTTCCCCTTCTCCCCCCTTGACATAGCCTCATGGCCAGGGACCCGAGCTGTCATATATGCTGACACTACATTCTGCACCCGTATGTGATAACAAAGTAGTACTTTCAAACACTCCAGTGATGCCTAGAAAAAGATGACGACATGGGAACTCAGTTGTCTGTACGTGGAAGTTCAGCGGAAGATGGACAACCGACCCTCATCCATCACTGCGTGTATTACTGTCTGTTTAGAGAAGAAGGTATCGGTACCCTGACGTATACACTACAATACGGTGTTATAAACTTTCCGTGCTGTTCTAGACCACACCTTGTCCCTGCCGACTTGGAGGTTGCTCCTTAATCGAATGAGACAAACTCGGATCGGTATGCACACCATCACCCCAAAACCACCGCTTCAACGTCACATGTTCATCCTTCTGAGAGTGTAGTCACGAACGTCATGTCATCCGCTACAACTCTGTCGCACTTACCATGACTCCCCCAAAATGTACGTTAGCTGTTCCTATTGAAATACAAAGTCCAAGTGGGACGTATCTCTCAACTGAACCGATTGATTGAAGACGTCCTCCCGGCTCCGGCAATTGAAGGTGAGCGAGAATGCAAAGACCGTTCCTTAGTTTAACGAGACAAAATGTTCTGGATATATCTTTATATTCCAAGAAAAAGTAATGCACATGATGCCCAATCTACTTTACGGAACGATGCAAGTAGAATATACAAGGACATGGATGAGGGTAATTGAGGGTGCGGTGAGCGTGATGATGAGGGAAAAAAAATACGACGACAGTCGTGAAAAACGTAAGAATGGCTCCCAAGAGCTAAAACCCGAGTAAAAAGAACAAAAAGCGAGAGGACGTGTTGCGTTCGTAAGAAGCGTGACAACAAAGTGATAGTCGTGGGTCATGACTTGAGAGGTGGCGAAGGTAAGACGTGGCTTTGGAATAAAGAACCACAGTCCAGCCAGTGGAGATATAAATGGAAAGGTGGGGGAACGTCACAGGTCGAGACACGGGAGAGGTTCCAAAAAGACAGCTGGGTATGAGGATAGTTGGAGGGACAAGATGTATGGTGCCAAGATATGCTACAGTAGGGGGAATGAACAACGAAGAGGAGGTATGAGGGGACTCGTAGACAAGGGTAAAGGGGTATGTCAC